GTAATATATGTTTAACATTATATAAATATAATTTTAAGAAATATAAGCGTTTTATTTCATATTTACAGTTCTTGGAAATAAACTTAATGATTATACTAAAATTAGAAATTTACTTGTTTTCATTAATTTGACTTCTTCAGTGTTGTTTTAAGTTATTTTTTTTTCATTTTGTTAAATTTCAATATTTATAAACAAATTTTAAGTGAAAAAAATGAGCTAATCTAGTAAATTATAGGACTCTTCTACAATAGAAACAGTCAATATAACAGCTAAATGTGGTCTGTGCCTTATAAAATTAAAAAATAATAAGGCTTCAACATCCAACTTGATTCGACATGTATGATCAAAATAACCAACTATTAAGTTGTTAAACCGGAATATTAGAATGGTAGAAGTACAAGATGATCCAGCTGAAACTACTTCTACTTCAATTTTAGTAAGTATTTATTTATTTTTTAAATACAATTACTATAATTTTAATATTATTCATTCTATCTAATTAAGTAATAATGTAGATAATTATATTTATATTATAAATGTATATGTAGTAAATAAAACATGTACATACAATTTAAAATAAGAAATTTTTATTTTTAAAATTTATAATTAAAAAATAATTTATTTAAAATAAAAGTTCAATAATTAGTTTATACTTTATAAATTTTCTTAAATTTCAGATATTTCACAAAAATCTATACATACTGTACTCTCACATACATTGTTTCTTTTCAAAACACTACTTCTACATTTTCGAATGAATATACAAATTATTATCATAACCAAAAATCTAAAACTGCAATTACATACACATCGATAACGTAGTACTTATCTAGACCAGTTTTAGCATACAAACGAAGACTTTTGGACAGGCAAATATTGCGAATTATTGTAAAAGATTACTAGTACCCTTTAGTAGAAAACAAAAAATTTATTAAATTAGTAAATATGTCCTCTTCTATCAAGTAAAACTCTTTCTAAATCTCTATTACCAATTTTATATAATGAAATTTATGATAATGTTAAAAAGTATATTAAATAAATGTCATGTATATCAACATTACTACTGATAGTTGGACTTTGGTCAAAATAAACATTTTGTAGCTGTAACTGTTAATTTTATCGATGAAGAGTGTGATTTAAAATCTTATCTTCTGTTTTATTTTTATTATTCAGAATCACAAATTTCAATGAATTTGAAAAGTTAGCTGTTTAAAGTTATTAAAGAACAGCGTCTGGATAATCGTTAGGTGTTTGTTACAACTGACAATGCTCCCAATATAGTTAATGTTATTTATTTATGAAACTGATGACGAACATTTTTTCTTTTATTTTTGTGATATCTCTAATTTAATGCAGGTGTAGTAAGTTTAGTGTTTATGTACAATATTTATAAATATGTGTCATAGTATACTGTGTATGTACATATGCGCGCGGAAACCTTTATTTCAAAGGGCGTTTGCGCTGCAAACAGCATTTGTGTAATTCATGTTATCATTTTCGTGTGATGCGTAGCGGTGCGTTGCGTACCCGCAGCCATCATCGGTGGCGGTGATAAGCCTCCGTGTGCGACCAGCCGGGTACGTAATCGCATTGTTATCATCGCCCGTTAATGTTCGTTATTTCACGTTCTCATAGTTTTCCGGTTATGTTTTTGTAAAAGTTAAAGTCATGCTCTCAGAGCCACAAAGTTCATTAATTTCGCGTGTTTTTCAGTTTTGTGTGGTGGCACTGAGACATTTTATTTTCTTTGTGGTGTCCGGCGGCCTGAGTCTTCGTGGTGAATATCGTCGGCACCGTTTCGCTCTCGTCTTTGTGTCTTCGTGGTGTGCACATCAAATTTCATTTTGTCAAGCTTTCGTACGTCCACAGCCATTTTATTTAAACCACGTTGTTGAGTAGTGTCATTTTCGTTTGTGAATTGACCGTTTGGTAAAGTACCGTTAGAAGCAATCTGATATTGTCCAGCGATTAATTTCATTGTTTTTCAGTTTTATCAGCGGTCGTTTTGTATTTAATGTGGTTTTCATTCGTTGTGTCATCGTCCAGGGCTGTGGACCATTGCAGTTTTTTCATTGGTGACTGTGTTCTGCTGGTCGCACGTGCCAGTCGTTGTGACTTATTATTTCATTCATACACTGCGGTGTGCCGTCGTAGGCATTTTTTAAAGTCACAGTGCTGGTGCGGTCGTGTTGGGATAAAATCCGCCATCAATCACTGTCACATCCAAAGTCGTTGGTACAATTTCGTGGTCCATATAGTCCTCGTAGTCATCCTTGAAGTCCTCAATGTCTCCGTTAACAACGTTTAATAATAAACGTTTTACCAGGGGACATTGATCGGTACACGACGGCAAACGACTACGCTTACGATAAACAAGTGGAGCATATGTCATTGTAAATCCTCAGCGAGTTTGTAGTATTCGGTTTCCGAGATGCTTGTCCAACTCTTCGATCCTCACAAGACTCATCGACGGTTAAATATTTGAACGGACGGTGCGGAGAGCATGACTGCGATCGACAACGACTACGTTTCGATGCACGACCGATAAGATTTGTGGAGCTTTTACAAATCTATAATCGCCTACATTCGGCAGCCGGATTTTCCGTTCTCAGGTATTTAAAAGGACGGCCCGAAGAACACAACTGTGATCGGAAACGCTTCTGGGCGGATGTACGGGTCGATTTTACTTCAAAAATGTTTCTGTTGGAAATCGTAAAGTCCCGATGTTCGATTATCCGGCTCTCGTTTTCATATTCGCATATTCTATATTTTACCGGCTGGCATGGGAGAGAACAATACGACGAACGACTACGCTTGAAAGTGCAGATCGAATTCTCCCCGTTGTATTTGTAAGTGCTCGAAATCCGCGATACACGTTTGGCTAGCCGATTATTACGGAATTCGTCTACAATCAAATATTTGAATGGCCGGTGCGGAGACTATGACTGTGATCGACAACGACTTCGTTTTGGTGCACCAGTAGGATTTGAATGTTTATTACTTGTAGAAATCGAATACCGCCCACGTCCGACCATCGGATTTTCCGTTCTCGGGTATTTAAAAGGACGGTCCGGTGAATACGACTAATATCGACCACGCTTCTGGATCGATTTACGTGTCGTTCTTACTTCAAAAATATTCCTGGTAGAAACCGGAAAATCCTGGTTTTTGACTACCCCGTCCTCGTTGTGATGTTCGCATATTCTATATTCAGTGATAGGGTTCCCAATCTTGCACTTTTTAGTCAGCAGATTATTAAGTGCTTCGTCCATGGTGGATAAAAGTTCCACAAGGTATGAAGTTTCGGAGCTTAACGCCTGTGCAATTTTAGCCTCATACAAAGCGGTTCTAATGGTACTTCTTAAGAACAGCAACGTAGATTCCGTCGGGTCGTTGGAGTTCGTTTTAGGTATTGAGGGAGACGTTTGGTGCTTCCTTTTCTTCCCGGAAAGGTCATCAAACATCGAGCTGCATTGGGATGCCGGGCTTGTTGCTGATGGGGCATTGCTCGATTGGCCGACTGAACTACCGGTTTTCTCTATTTGGACAGTTAGAGAAATGCTGTTTTGTGTTTTCTTTATTGTATCCATAAAGTTCCCACGAGAGTCAAAGGAAGAGGGGGTCCGCCGTGCCAGAGCCTCGATTGGCACGGTAAGGCGTTCGTCACGTTGGGACCGTACGACAGACGACTTCTAGGACCAATTAATTAAGACCAGCCCTGGCCACTCTCTGCCTAGTAATCTTCATTTACGGTCATGAGGGGTTGAGTGGGGGCTAATTTGCTGTTTGCAAGCGGGAGATGCCCAGTCCTGCCGGGTCCAACCAACCAAGGTAAGAACCAGGACTGCGGTGGTTTACAGTATCCTTCTGGGCCCGTTTGTGAAGTGCTCACAAGTGGTGCCTGCCTTGCCGACTCCGACTAGTTAATGTAAGGACCGGGTCGATGTAGCACCGGGGGGGGGGGGGGAAGGGGGAGAGTTGGCTCCGGTGAAGCTTGTCCGCGACCGCTTATTCGCCAAATCCCGAAGAATTGATTTATTTCGCGGCTACCCTGCATATCTACAGGTTATTCCCCTATTCGCAACCTGAGGACGCACCTGATAGCAGCTCACGCCACGGGCATTAAAATAGCCACCGGCAGCACTTTCGCGGATACGGCGAATGAGATTCGAAAATCAAATGGCCTCATCCCCGAAACTATCGGCTATAGAGTGACGGGCATAATGAAGATCATATTGAATCCATAGCACTAGAGAGGGACGACGATCACGGGTGACCAGAACGAGTCTCCAGAACGGATGGTCATTGATACCGAGTGGGGAAGATTTTATATCAGTAATGAGATTCTAGGCCGGCGGGCGTTCGTCGGGCCGGGAAGAATGGTGCACAGAAAATGATAACCTACAACTATTGTATCGATAAATTGTCATAATCGTTACTAAGCGCACGTGTTTTACTTCGCTCCTGAGTTATTCGTCGACAACTTTCTTCAAACTCAATGGATTTTGTTCTTATATACTGTAATATATAATAAGTATTGTTTATTCAATATTTTATTTTAGTGACCAATGCCATTAAGCGTCCATCCGGACTTTTGACGACTTAAATTAAAGAGGACGTATAATCTTACCTTAAATAAGAAGGGGCACTCCGTTCCCTTCCGTCTTCCCCCACTTTAACCACTGTGTAAAGGCCGACAGGCCTAGCCACCAACGGCTGTTATTTTTTATTACATATTTACTTATATTGCCGTGGGCAATTCATATATTATTATTATTATTATACGTATTAAATTATTTATTTATTATTGTGTGCAGTATGGGCCGCATATTATTTAATTAGTATATATTTTGATTGTGCCGCTGTAAGGCCAATTTGAAATTATATCATATCTATATTATTATTGTTCATTGTATTTATTTATTTATTTATATTCATTTAATTATTCTTGTGCCAATCGGGCAGCATAATATTTTTTATACGCATTCTCTTTTTTTTTTCATTATATCATTATTGTAATTATTATTAATAAACTCAAAACCTTAAATTTATAATACTTAAATATTTTTTAATCATTGGGATTGTGTTTTGAATTATATATTTAGATATTTAAATGTTATCATTTTAAGCGATAGAGATAGCCCATTATTACTGTGGGCTCTTGATTAACCGCACAGGGCGCCTACAATACTTTTGGAACCTATCTTAAGAAAACGTTTATATTTATTTAATAAATTATTAAACAAACATGACTTTAATTTTTTATTCAAAAATATGATATATTAGTGCCAATGAATATGTTTTCCTTGAATATCGTATATTTTTTTCAGAGAGCTTCAATTATTTATGATTTATACTATTGTAGTCAATTTCAGCTGTGTTATTATCAAAATAAGTTTTTGGACGAACAATTTTAACATTTAGTTTTATTTTTTTGATTACGAAATATCATTTTTTTTACCAAATATTTTAGAATAAATTACATTTAATTTGAGTAACGTCAGTTAAAATATAGGCCCCTTACTCGTAGATTAAAATTATAAAGTTCTAATTTCCAATATTTACAGGGTGCCTGGGCATACATAGCACCAACCGTACGGACACCTATGCATGTATATAGTATACAACATTAGAGTGCAGGAAAGTGGGTATTCGTTAATTTTAATTTCTTACCTTTTTCCTTTTATGTTTTATTAATGTCTAATATTTTTCATAAATTAAATTTAAATATATTATTAACTTTCATACTACATACACTTTAATAGATAAGAATCGTTGTTCCAGCACAAGCTTTGCTGATATGGATAGCTGTAATATTGTAAACTATTTTTCGAAAATGTAAAATACTGAATGTTATTGTTACAATAAAGTTATTATCTATTTTGTTATTAACATATCATATAATATGCAATTTATACACGTAATTTATGTTTCGGCGACCGATAAAAGTTTATTGATGTTTGACAAAAAATATATATGAATTTAAGTTTAATGGTTCTTCCTGCCCACATATATTTCTTAAGCTCATATAGCACTATATAGTAACGTTTATATATTTTATATCAACCCATCGGCACTATCAGTAGCCTCGCACATTTTCTGTAACGGTCCCCGTACATTTTTCGGTTTCTCGCGCGTCAGTAATATTATGCGTTTATGAAATATATTCATAATATGAATACATATCATATTGTAGTGCATTATATTAATATACGATTTCTAAAGATCTTTGTGCGCTAGGGTACGTATTTCGAGGAACCTAGCTTCGGGTTTTAACAGCCCTTATCACATTAGTTTTACTGCCTTACTGGTGTGTATCATAATATGATGCATCAGGAAAAAAATAGCGTGCGAGCCAAAGCGATTCTTCGTTCCGTATTAGTTTTTCCATGTCTACTTATTGATGGTGCGTATATAGTAATGCGTTTTTTTTCTACTCGTTTGTGCACGGGGTAGCGTTTTCATACCAAATTTCATTATATATTATATAAATATTTAAAAAAAAAAAAACTGTAATTGGAATTTATTTCCGTAATAAATAAATATTATTATTATTGTTATTCAAATTGTAGAACGATTAACGTCGACGTCGATTCGAGAACGCCTAGCGCGCGTGATTCCAAGGCGTCTGTTCAAGTACTAGTGACGTGTGAATGTTAAGTAAAAATAAACCATTTAAAGGGTTCTTGTGATATGGATTTTTCCCCCGTGAACTCAAACCGTACGGTTCAGCTGGTTGAACGGCAACGACGGAAGACGTCTCTGTATTTCGTCTAACGTCATTTTGGAGAATCGCGGGATTTCATTAATACGGTTTATATTGGTCGGTGTAACAACTCCCTCGGTACACTTTTTCACTTTCTCTTATGGGGCGACTGAAATCCGATATCGTTCTTGGTCGCTACCCGATTACAATATAAACATGGTGCCGCCGTCGTGTCGTTGCAAAACCGTTGTCGTTCCGAACGAAAATTAATCAACTGTAATTGTATAATACCAATGCAACTCGTTTGCATTCAAAATTTTTAGGTGAAAATCGACGACTCGTTTGCGCACAACGACACATTCAACACATGACACGTGTTAACATATATTGTCACAGACTGCAGTACATATTATCTTAATATTATCTTATAATCGACTGTGTAGCTTGTAGATTATATAAATTTGGATTTTCCAAACAACTTTTAGTAAAGTTTTAGTAGGTATGGACTATGGATATAGACGGTACAGTAGTGACTAGTGTGTTGACGACATAAATTTTAATATGGTGTAGAAATTTCTAATACTTTTGAATCTCGGTGATGAAAACGATGTTTTAATATTGATAATTATAAATTTAGTGAATACCGTGTTTTAATGAGTGGATGTTCAAATTTATGATGCACTAATAAAAAATGTCCTGTGAATGTTATTGTTAATAAATGAGGAGTATAATAATCAATGATAATAAGCAAACTAGTTCTGGCACTAGGGATTTTCGTCTCAGGTAACCAAAATATATGTGCGCAATCGAGTTGTGCATTTTTGTGCAAACGAGTTGTAAAATAGGTAAATGTGCGCAAACGAGTTTTAGTCTATAATACACGTATTGTTCAATCACCCGCCGGCATATAAGCATAGTGTACATTGTTAGAGAACCTAATGAAAATACTGTTCTACGATTGGCTGTAATCCCAATGAGATAACGACTTCGCTATGAATTATCTGGATTTCATAAATCACGAAAATGATCAGTTATCAAATTTCTGAATTTTGAATATTTTAAAGACGTTTTAATGCTTTTAAACTTTTAACTTTTTTTTGGAATTTGAAATTTGACAACATGTTATTTCCAAAAAAATATACAAATGACATTGTTGGAGAAATTGGGAATACCGTATCTTGAAATAAAAATGTTATATTGAATTTAAAATTGGTATCTTTATTTGGTAGATAAATTTATACATTAGATATTTTATGTATACTTTGAGGGTCTTATAATAAATAACAGTATTTATTATTTTATATTTTTATTAGATATTTATTATTAAATATTTTAATAAATAATTAATAAATAAATAATTTTTTTTTTGGAAATATAATTTTCGTGATTTATCAAATTTGATAACTGATAATAGATAATTGATAGCGAAGGTTATCTAATCCCATTGGAATTAGAGCCAATCGTAGAACAGTATTTTCATTGGGTTCTCTAACAATGTACACTATGCTTATATGCCACCCGCCGTGCCGTCGTTTTCCATGCCGCATGTACGTATACGCTACGTGCCTGTATAATTTATGTGCACATTAAAACGCACGCGTTTCAACACCACGCGTGTGGGTGATAGGCTAATTACCATAACCTACGTTACGTACAACGTTCTCAGTAGATACGCGTATTTTGTGATATACCGATGGCTGTTGGTTCAGGCGTATAAACAATAAAAATATTTTGCGCACGTTTTTTTTTTTTTCAAAACATCGCAACGATTACGTAGTAACGACAGAAAATTTGATTTTGGTGTCGTTTACCTATCTAATGTACTAGTTTCACGGGTAAGAACTTCTGATTTGCGGTTGAGCGTGAGTATAAAAATATAAATATTCACTAAATTGCGGGTCGAGGGTTTAAACCTTTAAAATTTCTCCTTGTACTAGACGCGTCTGTTTGTGCCGCTGTAAATTCGCAAAACAAAAATATCGCGTGACCAACGGACATCATTGTGGAAACAAATGCCTTCCATATCCAACAATGTAAACTCGGATATAAGTATAACTCTAATTTTATTCAACTTGGCGAGAAGGAAGGCGTTTAACCGGACGCTTTTCGGCATCTCATACTTACGCACGTGTATTCCCTACTGCTTGGTGCGGACACGTGTTCGTAACCGTCGAACGGATGGAATGTAAGTATTTCAAGACGTGATTTTCTCCTCTGAACATCCATCGTGTACGATAACGTCACGCACCGTCATCCTCCAAGCATAGATCGCGGAAAAAACGGATTGGGAGGTTAAAAAAAAAAAAATAAGAAATAAAAGAAGAAGAAATGCACGATCATATTTTTTATTGAACGCATACATCACGTTCCGTGGAAACTGTATTCGAAGTGGAATAAGAGTGTTTCGGCTAAAAAGAAATCAAGAAATTATTTAATACAACAAACTGTCGACTGCGAATATAGACATCAAAGTACATTATACCTACATACTCGTAGTTTTCGAACTCATTTAATTATGACTACACGTTTTCGACGGGAATGGACGTATGCCACAAGTAGTTCTCAATATCAATGGCCGTCCGATGGGTCCTCTGTCACGTTACCCGACGAATTCGTTTTCGGATTTCGGTAACCATTAGGAGTTATAAATTGGTCACTGGTCCACAAGGACTAGAACCGGAACTGAAAATACCGGTTCTGGAACCAGTTAACCATAAAAATTCGGGAACCGTAAACTTAACCCTAACCTTAATTATAAAATAGTTAATTTTAGTTAGTAGTTGTAACATTGTATGTTGGTTCAGAAAAATAAAAGTTATTTTTTATTAATGTTAAATTATTTATTTTAATTAAATTAAATTTTTTAATTTTTTTTTAATTATTCCCTTTTTTATTAAATTATTTAGTAAATTATTATTTGCAATGCTTAAGTATATCTATAAATAAAAAGTTTTTATATAGATATAAATAAATGAATGCATAACCTGGAGTATTATTATATGAGTTATGTACAACCGATTTCTAATAAAAATGCATCATCAGGTATATACAAAATAAATAAAATCGTGACTGTAAATATTTATTTATTTTTTTTAATTTGATCAACTGAGCACACTTTTATGAAAAAAAAAAATAAAAAATTATTAAAGATATATGTTTATAATATATAAAATGTATAATAAATTTTTTCATACATTATATTTAAAGAAAAATATATATATCTGAGTTGGAAACAAACGTATAAATTGAACGTAAAATAACACAAGTATTTTCTTATTATTATTTTTATTTTAAAGAAATTGATTAATATATTAATTATTATAATTACATTTATATTTATAAATTTTTTTTAAAAAAAATATCGATATTATTTATTATTATTTATTATACTTAATAAATAATATTAATTCAAATTTGTACGATATGAAACTCTGGGTGTAGTGAACGAAAATATACTTTTTTCTCATTAAATACTATGGGTTGATTCTATAGTCGGTGGTGTTCTCAAACAATGTAAAATAAATACATTTAATACTGATTATAAAAATTAATTGAAATTTAATTTTTGTTTTTAAGTTTTAAAATAGAGTATTAATTAGTGACTATATTCAAGTACTTGTTGTTCAGTAAAATCTCTTAATAATTGATCACAGTATTGCTTATGACAGTATTCATTTTTTTTTTAAGAACCGAAAATAAAAGGTATTTCTTAAAACTGTTTTTGACCGGTTTTAGAACTCCCTGTTGGTCCGCACTATGCGGAACCGCATATGGTTTATAACAGAGGCGGCCAAACTTTTCGGCCACGATCTATCAAAAATATACTTCATCTTTGAAGATCGACTTTATTGGAAAATTTTTTTATAAATCAGAATAAAAGATAAAAACTAAAGAGATAAAATTTATTGACAATTTGTTCATAACGATTAATTTTCGTGCAAGTGGCCTAAGAATGAATAATAACATGATCGACTCTGAAATCGTCCGCGATCGACCGTTTGACCGCCCCTGGTTTATAATATTTTATTATTATTATTTATGTAGCTGGTATTCGTGGATGATTTTTCCCGATTTTGTGGGGATTGTTTCGCGTTATTATACTAGTTTACAATGTTATTATACTAAAGTACTGTATCGTTTTTTATTAAAGCCGACTACGCGATTTCGACGGCGTTCCGTGTAGACAAC